CGTCTATGTAAGGATACAAGCCGCCACTTTCGGGCTTCGAGGGGCAGATCCCCAACCCCAGACCCCCGACGTCATGATTCTTGCACAACGTCGACCCTCGAGGTCTGGACCCGTTTCCCGGGACCGGTTCTTAATCTCAGGTCCGTCTTGCACGGCCCTGAGGCCCAGTCACCCCAGAGGGTCTTCAATAAACCTCCGGGCAATAACGGGAAACTAATCGATTTTTCCGCGGACATTATGAAAGACCCTGTGCGGATAAGGGCCCCCAGAAGCCCCAGCATGGCGCAAAACCGTCCGTCGTGATTCTTGCCATGACTCCAGGGGAGTCTGGGACTGGCGTGGTGGCATGGCGGGGGGGAGGGCGGTCGTGATGTGGAACGGGGATGGGGCTGGGGACAGGTGAAAAACGACACGGCCCTCCAGCCTCCTGCCCACGTCTTGGAGCGAGGCGAAGGGGGGCCCCGAGGTCCGACGTCGTGCTCTTTGTTCACTGCGGGGCCCCCCGACGTCTCGGGCCAACTCCCCAGAGGACCGGCCGTTCACCCTGAATCGTTTTTGGACGGTCCCGGGGGCCCGGCGAGGGGCCCCCCAGAGGCCGAACACTGCGAGAACGAGCCCCCACCCTCGATGCTGTTCACGGCCTCGGATCTCTGGGGGGGTCCTCGCGGCAGGGGTCCGCCCGCCTGCCGGGGGAGGCTCGGCTCCGGCCGCCCCCGGAACTGCGCCCCGCCCTGGCCGACCTCCGCTCGGCGTCTGCCCTGGGCCCCCCTCCCTCGGGGGCCCCTCCCGGGTGGCGCCTCGGGCTGCGTCCGAGCCGCGTCGGGCCGCGGCGACGGTGACCCCCAGAGGCGCCCGAAGATCTCCCACACCACGACGACGACGACGACGACGACGACGACGACGACGACGACGACGACGCGGCAAGAGCCACTTCCGCTCCCCCGTCCCGGCCGCTGTCCTGGCCAGCTCTCCGAGCTGCATCCAGCCGTGGGCCGTGGCCAGGAGGGGGCCCGCCGAATCCCAAATAAGGCGAAGACTTCACATTGACGCGTCGCCGCCGCCGTCGCGTCGATCTGCTGGCGCCCTCCCAGGAACAGCGTCTGCCCGAGGTCCCTGCGGTTATCAGGTACTGGTGGGTCCCTGGAGGTCTCCAGAGGTCCCCGCGGAGGCCTCCTCGCGGGGGCCTCGAAACATATGTAAAAAACAAAGACGGTCACGGACCTCAATGCTCGACCCTCGGACAGCGATCCTCGAACCTCGGATGGCGCCCTCTCAAGGACAGCGTCTGCCCGAGGCGTTGCCGCCATCGCGGCGCGTCGTTGACGCCCCCCGAGGCCACGGCGACGAGGACCATCGGAAGCGCCCGCCAGCCTCCAAAAAACGAATCGACGACGACCACCACCACCACCACCACCACCACCACCACTACCGCGACGACCACGACCACGACCACGACCGCGACAACGACCACGACCATGACCACCACGACCACGACCATGACCACGACGCCGCAGCCACCGTGGTCGTCGCCCTCCTCCTCCTCCTCCTCCTCCTCCTCCTCCTCCTCCTCCTCCTCCTCCTCCTCCGCCTTCTCCTCCTCCTCCTCCTCCTCCTCCTCCTCCTCCTCCTCCTCCTCGGGGCGCCGCAGGCATCATGGAGGACCGCCGAGGGCCGCCGAGGGATCGAAGGGCGGCGCCCCGCCCGAGGCCCGGGCTCGTGCCGCAGCCTGTCGCACTCCGCGCTCAGCTGCTCGCACTCCGCGGCGGCCCGCGCCTCGCTGCGCGCTGCCTAGCCGCGGGCGCGCGCGCGAGCAGGACCTCTCTGCGGCCCAAGTTCGCTTCAGATGCTTTTCTCTTGCGCCTCACCACCTGGGGCCAAAGCCATCGGCCAAACCACCGTCGACCCGATGCCCCAGCCACCGCCGCCGCTACCTCGATCCGGTCCGCCTGCCCAGGACCGCCCCATGAGCTCCGGCCCCAAGGCACCCCCCGCGTCTCGTCCTACGAGGTTGAGGAAAGGCACGAGGCTTAATGGCTGGTGATGTTTGTCAAACCTCTGGGACTCTTCGGCCCCGGGCTTCCCTCCGGCCTCGGGCTTCCGTGAGCCTCTGCACTCTCTGCCCGACCTCTGGCTTGTTCAACCTCGTCGAACCCGGCGGCTGCAAGAGGGGTGGGCGGTTGAGGAAGAAAAACAAACAACACTCCCCCTCCCCCGCAATTCAAAGTTGGTGCGTTTACGCATCACCGCTCGGACACTCAAACTCGGGAGATCCGAAAACGACGTTGAATCCGGGGGAAGGCGGGGAATTCAGACCATATCACAGGTTCCAGAGACCATGAACCAAAAAACCTTAAAATCTCTTAGGAGGTCGATCTTTACTTCCACCGGCTTCCGCCAGCAGAGCCGCCCTCGCTTAACTTCCGCCGCCTTCCGCCGCCCCTCCGCAGCCTTCCGCCGAGGAAGCGATAGCAGCTCTTTCGATCCTAGAAGGCGAGGCCCCTTCTGGAACGCCTCATATGTTACGCGTGGGTGCTGCTTCATTGTTTCCGACACCTGGATGGCCCAGGAGGGAGCATAAACTACGTGCACCCAGGGGGTCTGGCCGCCCGTGTCTTCGGCGAGCCCCCTCCCCCCCCCCCCGGGCGAACACACGCAGCGTTCGCCCCTGGGCCATGCGCCCCTCCTGCCTCCCGCCGAGCTACCCTGCTCGGGAGGATACGGTGCCTCTCCCTGCGCCCCCTCCTCTCAGGGTCCCTCCTCCTCCTCCTCCTCCTCCTCCTCCTCCTCCTGACCCCTCCTCTCCTCCTCTCGCCTCCTCCTCCCTCTCCTCATCCCCCTCCTCCTCCTCCCTCCTCCTCCTCTTCCTCCTCTCCTCCTCCTCCTCCTCCTTCGCCTCAACTCCCCGCCTCTGTCCTTGTCTCTCCTCCTCATCATCATCCTTTTCCTCCTCCTCCCCTCCTCCTCCCCTCCTCCTCCCCTCCTCCTCCTCCTTCGCCTCAACTCGTTGTCCTTGTAAATAACCCCCCTGTCCCACCCCGAGGCCGGTCGAAAGGGCGGGCCACGCTTGTCGCCTGAGTTCCTCACACTTCATGACCCTGAAGCTTAAACATTGGTAACACTTTTACACATTGAGGGCGGGTGATTTTCAAACTGTTGCTCTCGCCTTCGCGCCGCGCACATTCGTTTTGTCCTAACGTGCAAAAGCTTCACGGATTGAGGGCGGGTGGTTTTCAAAATGTGTCTCCCGCTCTAGCGCTGAGCGCATTCGTTTTCAACATGTACAAAAGCTTCACGGATTGAGGGCGGCTAGTTTTCAACATGTGGCTCTCGCTTTAGCGACGCGCACACTCGTTTCGAGCACCAGAGCTTCACGGATAGAGGGCGGCTGGTTTTCAAAAAGTGGCTCTCGCTTTAACGACTTAGAGACGCGCACATTCGTTTCAACAAATTGCAAGCGTTTCACGGCTTCCCATGGTCTACGTACCAGATATGGCGTTTTGGGAAGCTTCAGGACTGTGAGGGTGCAACAGTTACGTTGGCTCGCGGTGTTGAAATCCCAGGGAAAAGGTGTTCTGGCACGGTTCTGGATCGTCAAGACGCAACAGTCAGGTTGATCCGTGGCGTTGGAGTCCCGAGAAGGATGTTCTGGCATGCTTCAGACTCTTCAAAAAGTTGTCGCCCAACGAGGCAGTGAGGCAGTTCCCTCAGTGGGGCTGAACCCTTGACTAGGGAGCTCGGAGGGAGCGTTTATTCCAAAATCGTTGATGAGTCTTGGGTTTACACTGGTCCTCCTCCTCCTCCTCCTCCGCCTCCTCCTCCTCCTCCTCCTTCTTCTCCTCATCCTCCTCCTCCTCCTATCCCGCCCTCCTCCCCCCCTCCTCCTCCGCCTCCTCCTCCTCCTCCTCTCCTCCTCCCCTCCTCCTCCTCCTCCGTCCTCCTCTCCTCCTCCTCCTCCTCCTCCTCCTCCCTCTTGCTCCTCAAAGCCTCCCCTCCCCTCATCCATCCTCTCATCCTCATCATTCATTCATCATCCTCCCTATCCTCATCATCATCATCATCATCATCATCATCATCATCATCATCATCATCATCATCATCATCATCATATCATCATCATCATCATCATCATCATCATCATCATCATCATCATCTCGTCCTCCTCTCCTCCGCCTCCCTCCTCCTCCCGCTTCCACCTCCTCCTCCTCCTCCTACTCCTCCTCCTCCTCGTCTCCACCTCGTCCTCTCCTCCTCCTCCTGCTCCTCCTCCTCCTCCTCGCTCCTCCTCCTCCTCCTCCTTCCTCCTCCTCCCCTCCTCCTCCTCCTCCTCCTCCTCCTCCTCCTCCTCATCCTCCTCCTCCTCCTCCTCCTCCTCCTCCTCCTCCTCCTCCTCCTCCTCCTCCTCCTCCTCCTCCCATCTTTACCCAACTAAAGCCCAACAGGGCTCAAATCACCAGGTAACGTTGATCGTGATATCGGGGTCCATGCTAGCGGATCCAAGGACATGGCGGAAAGTAAATGATGCATGGTCCGTTAAGCAAAGTGGAAAGGAAAATACGTTGTATAATAGGTACGCGCGCGGGGCACGCGCGCGGTCTCTTTTCCAGTCCGAAGTAGCTATGGTCAACTACCGGTATAATCAAGGTTTGACGTGTACATAGACGGCGGCAGGGAGCGCATGGCAACGACTCCCCCCGCGGCGGCCCGGCCGCAGCGGCCGGCCAGGGCCGACGCAGCACCATCAGGACTCTTCGTTCCCGACGGCGTCGAATTAGAGCGGGCGCGGGCGCGGGGCTCTCGCAGCCGCCAGCAGCCTCGCCAGCCACGCGGCATGCACCATTCGGCCATAGGCCGAGAGTGTCAGATGAGCGCGGGGGCGGAGCTCCCACAGCCTCTAGCAGCCCCGCCTGACACTTGTGGCACACCATACGGCCATGGGCCGAGAATGTGTGCGCACACTGGCCTAGCCTCCAGAACGCCATGGGCGCGTAGGCGTCTGGGGCTTACCAGTGCCATCCGCTGTCGCGGCGCCAATGGTCGCGGTCGTCATAGCGGCGATCCGCCCAATTGCCGTAGTCTCCCTTGCCACGGTGATCTTTGCCCGGTCCTTTGCTCCTGGCACGACTGCAAGTGCCCCTCCACGCACTCCAGGCGCGGTCGATAGGGGGTCGGCTTTGCTCCCGTTCGCGCCACGGGCGGTGAGAGGACTCGGGAACTTGCTGGGAAGACGACGCAGCGCCGCTGCATTCCGACTGGCGGGTGTCCGTGTAACGGCACGGGCGAACCGAGGGAGGGGAAGCTGCACGACTGCCGCCCGGGGTCGCTTGCCCTCTCCCATGCCCGCAGCTTCCGGCGGCGGGGGGGCAGCGCCACTCGACGCACTGCGCTTACCGCCAGCCACGCGCGGGAACGCAGCCGCCTGAAACGCAGCCGCTCTGCCCCCCGGCATCGACGAGGGCTGAGCGGGCGCTTGCGGCCGACAGAATGGGCAGCCCTGGCGGTAACCGCCGAGGGCTGGCGACGCCGTGCGCCTCGTGCCATGGGCACACGTGAGGGGTGGCGCTCCTCGTCAAACTCGGGAGGCGCCACTCCGTGCTGCTTCCACGCATTCAATGCATATACGGCAGCCTCGTACACATGCAACGGCCACCTTTCAGTTACTGAATGCTGGAAGGTGTCAAACGTGGCCGGTTGACCACGGGCGAGCGCTGCCGCATGCGACTGCAACACGTATTCCATGCACGCCTCGATAAGGGGCGCGCCTGATGTGACGCGTGGCAAATCTGTCCAGTTTTTTATATATGTCCTTGCGAACCAGCTCCAGCATCTCGCGGCGCGCCTTCAAGATGCGAAGCTCGCGCACTAGTGTCGTGCGGAACTGCCTCACTTCTGTAAGATGAATGCGCATGGCGCTGTCATCTGCTCGGTTCACATCGGTCTGCGTCCAATCGAAGTCCTTCGTCAACTCAACTGCATACCTGCATGCCTGTTCTGACATACATGTGGCCTCGGCGTTGAAGAGGTCGGGGTCGTAGACGGAGAACTCGGGCGGTTCGTGCTACATCTTGCGGATCTGGTTCTCGCAGGAGGCCTGAGTTTCTGCCTGGTGGAATTCCTGGGGCTCGTCAGTCGCCTCGAAGTACGCGACGAGCTCATGGGCCGCCTGTGCGACGCGGTGCTTGTTGATCGAAAGCCTGAGATCAGGTCGGTGGATGTCCTGGAACCGGCGAGGTGCTCGGGGGCTTGTTCGTCTGCGCATGGCGCGTCCTCCGAATGCTTTTGGTGCGTCTGCTGAACGCACGCGCCGGCGGCTGTTCGATCTGCCTTGTCTGCCACGGGCACGAGGCGATGGCCGCGCCGAAGCGGGGCGGCGTCTACGCACGCCCCGATCGCGTTCCGCCTCTTCTTCACTTTCCGCGATCCCAAGCCATTCTTCCTTCGGCAACCAACAGGATTCGATGTCCTGCTAGATTTCTGGCCAAAGCTGGTCAAGTCCCAGCGGCAGGCTGTCGCGATGAACATGGCGCCATCGGTGCCATCCAGCGGTCGGCTCGGCGCTATCGCGCGCCTCAGGGTCAGTGGCGTCCCAATCGAAGACGTTCAAGACACAAAATTCCGCACTGGAATCAGACTGATCCACTCGTTTTGATAGGCACGCCCACCACATCCACGTCGGGCAGGTCGCACCGTTGCCAGCGGGTTGGAATCCACGATGTTCTTGGAACGACATCCATCGTCTGGCCAGCTTGTGTTCCTTGACCTCTCGCGCCTTGTTGCCATTGGCAGGACGCTTGTCGCGCGGTGATGCCGGGATTCAGGCGAACGCGGCTCTTTCAGCCGAAGGGTGGCGGTCTTCCCCGCCATGGCGGCGTGGCATCGCGTCATCGCGCCCTCGGAGGTGTCCATCCCCCAAGTGTCCCGCCACTTTTGCTGAGTACGATCCGAGTTCTGAACCAAGGATGCCCGTGTCCGCAGTCTGCCACCTCCGCGCTCATAGGGCACGTTCGCAGTCCGCCGATCTTTCACCATTCCAGCCGCCATCCAGTCCACTGCAGGATCAAGTGTCCAGGGCTGGTACGGCAGGGCGTCATGGGCAATGTCTTCTCGGCATACTGAACATCCAATCATACCGTATCTGGACTTGTGCCACATGTGGCAAACGAGGCAGATGTCATCCTCCCAGCCAGGCGGCTGACGAACTCCCGCCCAAAGTGCGGCATCCATTCGGTCTGCGTGGTACCCAGCGTGGATGAGCTGTTTGGAATCCGAAAGAAAGGAATCCCTTTCAGGCGGACGCACAAGTTGACCGACGGCTCAGGGGGTACCAGGAGAGAGAGAGAGAGAGAGAGAGAGAGAAAAAAAAAACAGAAAAGAGGAAGGGACCCCCCCCCCCCAAAAAAAAAAACGTATGGAACTCTCACGGTTTTTGATGACTTGTTGGTTGGGTACCACCGCCAGAAAAATCCAAAAGGAATCCTTTCGGAATCCGCCACAAAAGGAATCCCTCTGTAATCCGCCACAACAGGAATCCTTTTGTAACCCGCCACAAAAGGGATAAAGGAATTCTTTTGGAACCCGTTACAAAAGGAATCCTTTTCTAATCCGCCACAAAAGGACTTCTTTGGGAATCCGCCACAAAAGGAATCCTTTTAGAATCCGCCACAACAGAAATCCTTTTGAAATCCGCCACACAAGGAATCCTTTGAAATTCGCCACAAAAAGAATTCCTTCAAGGCGGACGTACAAGTTGACCGACGGCTCAGGGGGTACCAAGGAAAAAAGGAGAAAGAACAAAAAACGCATGGGACTCTCACGTTTTTTGGTGATTTTGTGGTTGGGTACCCCCGCCACGAAAGGAATCCTTTTGTAATCCGCAACAAAAAGGAATCCGTTGGAATCCGCCACAGAAGGAACCCTTTTTTTCCAACCCGCCACAATAGGAATCCTCCTTTTCATCCGCCACAAAAGGAATCCTTTTGCAATCCGCTACATAAGGATTACATAAGGATTCCATGTGCGGCGGTGGTACCCAACCAAAAATTCATCAAAAAACGTGAGTTGCATGCGTTTGTTCCTTCTTTTTTTCTCTTTCCCTGATTATGTTTCTTTTTATCCATGTTTCTTGGTACCCCCTGAGCCGTCGGTCAACTTGTGCGTCCGCCCGAAAGGAATCCCTTTCGTGGCGGATTCCAAAAGGATTCCTTGTGTGGCGGATTACAAGAAGATTTCCTTTGTGGCGGATTCCAAAAGGATTCCTTGTGTGGCGGACTCCAAGAGGATTCGTCTTGTGGCGGGTTACAAAAGGATTCCTCTTGCAGCGGGTTGCACAAAGAATGTCTGTTATTCCTTTTGTGGCGGGTTACAAAAAGGATTCCTGCTGTGGCGGATTACAGAAGGATTCCTTTTGTGGCGGATTCCAAAAAGATTCCTCTTGTTGCGGATTACAAAAGGATTCCTTTTTTGTGGCGGTGGTACCCAACCAAAAAAAACATCCGAAAACGTGCGCGCCCCATACGTTTTTCTATGTTTTCTGTTTCTCTGGTTAGTTTTTTTTTCCGTGGTACCCCCTGGGCCGTCGGTCAACTTGCACGTCCGCGTTGAGGAATTCCTTTTGTGGCGGATCCCCAAAGGATTCCTGTTGTGGCAGATTACAAAAGGATTCTTTTTGCGGCGAATTCCAAATGAATTCCTGTTGTTGCGGATTCCAAAAGGATTCTTTATGTGGCGGATTCCAGAAGGATTCCCTTCTGTGGCGGATTGCAAAAGGATTCCCTGTGTGGCAGATTACAAACAAATCCCTTTATATGCGGACTTCAGAAGGACTCATGTGGAAGACGGAGGAGGAGGAGGACGACGACGACAAGGGGAGAGCGAAGAAACTCTACATGATCATGAGAATCACAGATTATGCAAGGCCTCGAAAACCCTTACACGAGCGTTGTTCCAGGGGGCGGAGATACAACCCTTACTTGGGGGGGGGGCCTCGGGGGGCAGAGGGAGCAGGCGGCAGCAGGACGAGCGGCGTGACCAGGGGCACTGTGCGCCAGGCGCGGGAGCGGGAGAGGAGGAAAAGAAGGAGCAGGAGGGAAGGAGGGGGGAGGACAGGACAGGAGCACTTGCGATCCAGTCTGAATGTGGCTCGGCTGGAAGAGTGCTCGCGTCGCGGCTTCAGTCTGAGCTGGATCCAGGAGGGAGGGGAGCGGTCAGGGGCAAGCGCGGGGTGGTCCTCGCTGTGGAAACAATCGAGGCGCATCCGGTGGAGTCCAGGGAGTTTGCGCGACGTACACAGCCGTGACAAAAGCTTCTTCGATTCGCTGCGGCGAAGATATATCCGATCCATCTTGAGATTCCTAACATCATGATGATGGCGTTATTCGGCGAGGTAGTTTCCCGATCCGACGGATGCTTGTAACTCTGTTACCCCAAAGACGGATCGGAAACTACCTCACGCCACACCGTATAAAATCACGAGCAGGATGCGCTGGCTCGCGGACTGGTTGGAGTACTCGTACTCCGAACTACTCCGCCATGCTGCGCTATAGGCGAAGGCAGGTTGAAAGAAACTTTCGTCACGGTGATATGGGAAAACCGCAGTCAGTTCTGGCTTTCATGTGCTCATTCGATCAATGCCCAGGCCACGTCGATGGCGATGGCGATGAAAACGATGATCATGACGGCGTTTATGATGATGCTGGTGGTGGCCATACTGACGATGGGTGACCATTCACCGCGCCAAGTAGGGCCACTGGTGGGGCCACCTATGGGGCCACGAGGCGTGCGAGAGGGGGCCGAATGTGCGAGGTGGTGGCATGCGACCGCGGCCAGCGGGGCCTTCGGTGGAACTCCATATGGGGCCGCGTAACGAAATGGGTGAGGCCACATGGTGGGCTGGCGGCATGCGACCGCAACCACTGGGCCTTTCGGTGAAGCGCTTCCTGGGGCCACGAAACGTGCAGGGGTTGTGCCAACATAGCGAAATGGCGGCGGCGTTGGGGGGGGTAGACGCGCGCGCGCGTCTACGGCTCCGTCGTCTCTGCGGTAACGAAGTATTTCTGACATAACGAAGGGCTTCTTGGAGCCAGAGTTAGCATGGAGGCTTGCCCTTCGGAGCGTTCCCCCAAGAAGCCCCGATATGAACCCAGTACACATGTTCTGGGGCTGGCTTCGCAAGAGGCTTCGGTCGATGGACCTGGAGGACTTGACCAAGAAGCGCCAGCCCTTTGGCAAGAGGGCCTACGCCGTCAGGGTCAAGGGGGCCCTGAAGTCAGCCAAAGCGCAGACGGTGGCGAAGAACGTGGCCGGCAAGTTCCGAAAGCCTGCAAGCAGGTCGTAGACCGAAATGTGGGCGCGGCCGACAACTAGTTCTCAATTGCTATTTGCCTGAACTTGTGCGCGCTGGGAATACATCGCGGGTAAAGGAGCCAAAATTGCACACAGCCGTGAGCAAAGTTTCTGCGAATTGTCATGGCGAAAATATATCCGATCCCCCTTGATATTCCTATTACCATAATGATGGCGTCATTCGGCATAATAGCTTCTGATCCGCCTGATGCTGATAACTCTGTTACCCAAAAAATGGATCGGAAACTTCTCCGCGCCACAACCTGTATAAAGTATCGAGCAGGATGCGCCCGCACGCGGAGCAGTTGGAGCACTTCCGCTCCGAGCTGCTCCACCCTGCTGCGCTGTGGGCGAAGGCAGCTTTGAACGGAAACTCTCCCCACGGTGATGCAGAGCTCCACGGAGAGGGCCCGACGAGAGGAGGACGAGGCGGCGTGGGGGCCAAAAGAAGTCTGATGATGAACGGGAGGGTGCTGCGGGCTGCCTCGTCTCGCGCCGCCTCCGCCCTGCTCAGCAAGGACTCCACCTCGCGCGTCCGAGGGCACCGCACGCCGAACGCTGGAGATGCCAAGGCACAAACCTCAAACAACGGCCTGTAGCCTCGGTGTGGGTGGACAACGAACCCGTGTACCCCTGCCCCTACTTGCCATGGCCGCCCGGGGCGCACTCGGCACGCGGCGCGTGACGACATGTTCGAAGACACAGGAGAAGCGCCGCCAGTGCTGGCGACCAGAGGCCAGAGGAACGCTGGCATTCTCGACACCAGCCCAGGGGCCACCGGACTTGCAACCCTCGGCGGCAAGCGCCGCCCTCAAAAGGATACCCTCGCGGAGCTCACGAACAGAACGGAGCCTTGACACCAGGTGGACAAATGGCACGGTGGTCAACAGATACGGCTAGCACAAACACACAGAAGCGCCGCCAATGCCACTGTCCCTGCCCCTGCCCCTGCCGCTGCCCCTGCCCCTGGCCCTGTCATCTGGGATTTCTGAAAAGCTAGCTGTGGTTCAGAATTGAATGGACGTCGGCAGCCAGATGGACCCCAACGGGGTGTCTGATGCCCCAGCACCGACCGGACCCGCAGGGGTAGGTCTCGCGCCGCGCTGCAGCGTTGATACGCAGCTTCCCAAGGCGCGCTGCTGGAAATGCACGGTGGCAGCACTGGCAGTGGGTATCCGAACTGGGCCTGAGACAAGAGGCGCACCAGGTTTGGCCAGCCTGCATTTGCGAGAAGCCCAGGAACGAGCCAGGACCACCCGGAACACAGA